ATATTGTTTTTTTATAGATGTATCTAAATCAAGCTTAGAAAATATAAGGCAAATACTATCAGTATTCACATCTCCACTGACTTAAGAATTTAAAACATACTCCAATTGGATTTCAATAATATGGAGATCATTAAACTGATAAATAAAAAGAGCCCTAATCAAAAAAAACAAAACCAAAAAGCCTCAACATGGGATCATAATTTTACCCTCTTCCCTTCAGTTATCTTGAAACATTTCTAATATTGACATGATTAAACAGCAATTTCAATAAATATTAACCAAGATTTAAAAAAAAAAAGAAAGAAAAAAGGCTTGTTTCATCAGCCTACCTCTAAAGACAATCAGGAACAAACAAAATACTTAAGAATGCTTACAAAAACATTTGTTTATCATTGAAAACACACAATCAACGTAAAGCTCAATTAGAAAAATATGCAGTTTTTCTTTTTTGTTTTTCGAGTCAGGGTTTCTCTGTGTAGTAGCTCTGGATGCCCTGGAACTCACTCTGTAGACAAGGCTGTCCTCAATCTCCTGAATGCTGGGACTAAAGGCATGCACCATCACTGCCCAGCTATACAATTCTTTAAACTACTTTGAGATTTCATCTTACACCCATCAGAATGGCTAAGATCAAAAACATAGGTGAGAGTCCATGCTGGTGAGGATGCAGAGTAAGGGGAATACTCCTCCATTACTGTGCCAACTTGTACAGCCACTATGGAAATCAGATGAGAAACGACCTACTGAAAGATGCCGTGTATATACACCACCAAAGGATGCTTCATCCTACCACGGAGACTTTTACTCAACCATGTTCATATGCTGTTCTAGTCATAATGGCCAGAAATTGGAAACATAGATATCCCTCAACAGAAGATAAACAGAATATGGCACATTTACACAATGGAGTATCAGTCAGCCATTAAAAGAAATGAAATATGCAGGTAAATGATAGAACTAGAATTTTAAAACTCTGAGTTAGGGGGTGGAGAGATGGCTCAGAGGTTAAGAACACTGACTGCTCTTCCAGAGGTCCTGAGTTCAATTCCCAATAACCACACGGTGGCTCACAACCATCTGTAATGGGATCTGATGCCCTCTTTGTGTCTGAAGACAGCTACAGTGTACTCATATACATAAATAAATAAATCTTAAAAAAAAAATTTCTGAGTTAGGTAACTCAGACCCAGAAAGACAAATGCAGTACATATTCACTTATATGTGGATACTGGCTGTTAAATCAATGATAACCAAGGTACTCACCATAGAAGCATAGTTAGGTATGGAATAAGGGACTAGGGAGGACTGATAAATCTCATTAAGAAAGGAGAATGGAATAGATAGCCGGGAGGGCTAGAACAGAAGGATGAAGTGGAGAGGGAAGGGGAAAAGGGGATGAGGGAGAGAGTATGAGGAAAGACATCTAAAATTAAGGGTCACTTAAAGGGTAGTATAGAAACCTAGCAGAAGCTTCCTAAAATATATACATAAATAAAGGCGAACTAAATGAAATACCCAAATAATGGCCTGATCTGGCCATCTCGTTACTAAACAAAGTTTCTAGTACTGGGATTGAGTAACATCTAATTAGGCTGTTGGTCAAAGGGAGTCCATGGGAACCCCCAAACAATCCATGCTGTCGCCAAGACTATAGGTTGCTCACCACAAACTGATCTCAAGACCCCATCTGAAGACAACATCTACACAACTCATTGGATATGGAGAAGTCAAGCTGGTGCCTACAGAGAGCCTGCACCCCTACGTTCTCTGATATAGCACCCTACCAAAGCAGAAATGTAAAAACCAAGCAAACCACTAAGGAGTATGATCTACAATGGTGTACTGCCTACAAGATGTGTTAGTGCAATTGGTGTCACAAAGCCTTGTGGGACCAACTAATCAATATCTGATTTGGCTTAAGTTCACCCCATGTGATGGAACCCATAACTGACACTGCTTGGATGATCAAGACCCTGAGACTGGATAGTACAGGTACCTAGGGTAAAATCAAATACTACTGTCCTAAACAAAACCAAAACAAAACCAAACAAGTGACTCCTAACAACACTGTGCTCTACTATAGATCAGTGCCTTGCTCAGCTGTCAGCAGAGAAGCTTCTTCCTGCAGTGGATGCAAAGAAAAGGTATCCACAACCAGACATTATGTAGAGGGTTCTGAGACCTTAGAACACACAGCCCTAAATGGGATGTCTCCATCAAATCCTTCCCCTCAGGTCTCAGGGAACCCCAGGGAAGAGTAGGCAGAAAGAGTGTTAAGAGCCAGAGGGGTTGGCGGACAAGCAAGAAAACAAAGCCCTCTAAATCAATATGACTGATTGACACACACAAGAACTCAGAGACGTGCACAGGTCTGCACCAGGTCATTTACATATATATTATCATGACTTTCAGTTTAGTGTTTGTATGGGATTCACTGGTATATGAGCAAGTGGGTCTCTTATTTCTTCTGCCTTTTCTTGGGCTTTTTTCTGTTTTTGTTCAATTCCAATGTGTTATTTTTATCATAGTACAGTATAATATGGTATAGTATAGTATAATGTAGTATATAGTATATTCCCTTAGAAATCTGTTTGTTTTCTAATGAGGGGAGTAAAAAAAGTTAAAGGAAAATTATTAAAGATATTGTATACCCTGTAGTATCAACTATTCAGCCAAGATTTACTTGTTTTTGTAAACATGAACACCTATTTAGTGTACAAAAAGAAAAAAAAAAAGAGTATGCAGTTCTTAAAATTAAGAAGCTATGGTTAAGAATTTAAAAATAACTTACCAATTTAAAAAACAGGTTATAGGACAAGATATTAAATAAAACTGCATACTCGTATCTGTATAAAATTTAGAACTATCTTTCAAAGGATTGTCTGAGTACCAGGATTTTTTTTTTTTTTTTTAAAAAAAGTTTTGCATTTGCTCTGAAAAACTTCGGGGGGGGGGACCAATAGTCTTGTATCATTTTCATAAGCCCTTTTCAAAAACCACTACTACTGTTATAAACATGCTCAGCAACGACACAGTGCCCCACAGCAGTTTACCTTCCACCACCACACACACTTTGCTTCAGCAATTCACCCTATGCAGGCATTCATACCAGAATTATTCTCACAGAAGTGTGCTAATACACAATGTTCTTCAAGAATATTCACAGCAGCACAGTCCTGGATCAATTAACTATATACATTCAATGAAAAATTGGTATCAAACAAGAATGAGCTAGCCATGTTTGCTGGGATGGAATGACATAATCTAGGATTAAGATACACGAGTATAGCCAGCCTTTTGGCTACTTTGTCAATTCCTTTTTCCACCACCCTTCGCCATCCCTTTTCCAACCCCCAATCCCCCAACACTAGGTAGGAAAAAAGAAGGCTAGAGGAGAAAGGGGACACAGATTTTGTTAAACTACTTCCTTCTGATTAGGGGAGTCAAGATCCTTGGGGCAAATTTCATCTTTGTAGTTAGGATATCCAATTTCTTCTTCTTGTCTGTTTCCACACGACCACTTGACAAAATTCAACAAACCTCAACCACAGCAACCAGCAGCAGGAAGAGGAACAGCAGCAGCAGCAGCAGGAGGAAGAGGAGGAGGAGAAAGAGGAGCAGCAGGAGCAGGAGCAGCAGCAGCAGCAGCAGCAGCAGCCGCCACAGTCTCTCTTGGAGCTCTAACATTTATATACCCTTTCAAGAGTCCCCAGAATTCCAAATGTCATACATTTGCAGAAACTATCTCCAGCTGGCAAAATCACATCCCTGCTAGACATGAGGCAAATCATAGTCAGCTGCTGTGGACAATCTAAACAGCCCCATATCCCATACCTGGGATTAAAACAAAAACATATTTCTATAATAATTCTGTATTTTTAAAGAAACCACAATTCTCACACCTGGGCCTGTACACAGACACCCAAACACACACACATGCATTTACACACACATGTATACACACACACACACATGGTGAGGTGTCACTAACAGGAAAGGCAAAGCAGGGAGAGAGGGCTGCACAGTCTTATCTCTAAAGGAAAGACACACACTATAAAGGATGGTAAACTTCTACAGACGTCTAGAATGCAGGGATAAGACTACTTTTCATTGTAAACAAAACAAGCCGATTTATGTTGTTTGAAAAACTCTTAGCCTGATTTTATGCTATTCTTAAATCTTAACAGCTTTTTAAAGACAGGCAGTAAATTATTTTACTCTTGTGCAGATTTATTTAAGGTCTTCAGATTATCAAAACTGTGCTGAGAATGCCTCTTTCTAAAGGTTTAAAGAATTCCTGACCTATCCCTACTGTCTTTAGTTTCTGACAATCTTGAAAGCTATACTGGACTGTAAATCTAAGCTCTTCCTGACAAGGTTCCTTAAATTGTTGCCAACAAATCCACACTGGTTTGACCTAGTCCCTATTTAGCTTTTTAAGCCCTGAGCAAGTCTTGAAAATCCATTTTCTGTCTTGCTATATTTAATATGTATTTTACATAAAATGACTTTCTATTGGCCTCTTCTAAGTGGAATCAGGGAACACGTATCTCTTTCAGATTTAATCCTTTCAAGGCAGTGTGGTTTAGCCTTCTATGACAGAATAACAAATAAATTGCCTACCTAGAATAAGTAAGATAGTGACTCACTACTCCAAAGTGACTTTTAAAGAGTTCAAAACAATTTATTTCACTATACTCCCAAACGGATCCAATTGTAACCAGGAAGTTCAACTCTTCTGCCACTAATGTGCTCTGTAACTTCAGGGAAGAGAGAGAAAAATGCTGCTGAAGCTAGTGACCAGGATCGTTCATCACGTATGTTTGATGCACTATCAGGTATCAAAGTCAAGGTAATACGGGAAGGGTTACCTAGTAAACACAGGTCTGCTAATGTAGGCCTACTCAACAACAATGCTACAAATTGTTACCAAACTTCCTGAAAATAAGAGACAGTCACTTAAAACAAAACAAACAAAAGAAAAACAAAACTGAACTCACCTTTAACACTTTTTCTATTAACATCTGCCCCCTTTTCAAGTAAATACTGAGCAATCTCTTTGTGTCCTTTGTAGCATGAAATCATCAAGCACGTATGCCCATGTCGGTTGGACACTTCCAAATCGGCTTTGTGTTCTACAAGATATTTTACTATTTCCAAATGGCCATCGAAGCACGCAGCTCGAAGAGGAGTTGAGTTGGTTAAAGTCGTGTTGTTGACAGATGCTCCATGATTTAACAAAGACTGGACAACCTTCAGATGTCCTGCGGCAGAAGCGGCCCATAAAGGGGGGGCCCCCTCGATGGTTTCCCCGTCGAAATTGACAGAGCCCCCGACTTCTATGGAAGCACTGCACTGCTCTAGAAGGAATTCTACCATGTCGAGGTGTCCATACCTAGCAGCCATCAAGAGTGGTGTGGCCCCGTTTGTTTTTTCCGAGATCAAGGAGGAAACCTCCGCTTTAGATTTGCTTGCCAGCAACTTGGTGAGGAGCCGGAGTTTGCCATCGCGCGCTGCGTTGAACACCGCTGTCTTTAGATCCATTTATGTCCAGTCGAGGCTAAGCTTTATTTATCGTTGAAAGCAAAGCTCCAGCTTAACTCTCCACGCAGGCAAGTAACAGGAGCCAAAGTTCAATGTTAGTCACTGAGACCCAGAACGGATATAAAACCCAGAGAGTATGTTCTGTCCTATCGCATTCCAACATCGGAGAAGCAGAGCACCGAACTAGAGAATTAAAAAATACAGCAGTTTTAGGATTTTGCATACACGATTTGGGCTTCCCTATTTTCTAATCTTGGGGGGTGAGGGGAAGAAATGGAAAAATTGCCGTACTCGGAACGATTCTTACCCCTCCCTCCATAGGTGCGAAAGGAAAATACAAAAGGGTTCACACGGAGACCAGAATGTTTCGATGGGAGGCAGTTCCTCCCAATGTGCGGAAAACGAAACACTACAGGCAACTGGTTTCCTCGTGTCCGGCTCTAGCCAGCCCAGCTTTGTTCTGGTTTTGCCTTGCACACGCCCAGCGAGTACCCGAAAGCGGCAGGAGTCGCGGCGGGTTCAGAAATGTTTCTTTCTCGCATCTGCAGAGAACTCACCAAGGGCGCGAGGCTGGAAGGCCTCACTGTGGCCAGGATGGGTTTCGACAAGGAACAAAAAGGTCAGACGCACCAACTCTCGGCCTGCTCACGCTAAGACCTCGCCGGAAAGGCTTTCTTCCCCTCAAACTACGCGAGGCGCAAAGGAAATCCGGCCGCCTTCCAGCCTTTAACTTCCCCAGCCGCCCCGTGCTCCGCGGCCACAACCGCCCTCCGTCACCTTCGCCTCCACCTCTCCCAGCCGCCCACCTGCCCTGGGTCCCGCGGCCCACACGACCCCGGCCGGCCGCCATCTGCCCCGACGCCCTCTTCCCGCCCAGGCCTCCCCGCTGGGCCCCGCGGCCATCGCTACCTGCCCCGGGGCTGGTCCTCCTGCCGTCGGCTGCTCCGGTTCCGGCCGCCCCTTCAAATGGAAACCGTTGTCCCCGACGCCTGGGATGCCCTACTCCGCCTGCGGCCGCACAGCTCCTCCATGCCCCGCGCCCCACAGGAATGAATCCGGCCGCGCTGCTCGCTCCGCCCCGCCCCGCGGAGCTGTCTACACCCTCCCTCCCAGGCCGTTCGCGTTGCAGCAGCTGCCGCGGCGGATGGTGTAATGGGCTGCAGGCCCGGGGGCCGGACAAGCCAGTTCACTGCTTCACATTACTGACGCCGCAGCCGCGCCATTGGGTCAAGGGAGGGCGGCGGCCGCCGCCAGCAACCGCCTAGGGGCGGGGCAGGGCAGGGCGGCGGGGGCGGGGTGGCGGGAGGGGGCGGAGCCTGCGCGAGCTCCAAGAAGAATGCGCCTGCGTACTAAGGGAGAGGCGGGGCTCCGTAGGAGGAGGCGGGGGCATGAGAGAGCGCCTTGGAAAATGCGCCTGCGTGCTACGGAAAGGGCGGAGCTCCTTGGGAGGGGTGGAGCCTAAGAGGGCTACCCAAAAGACGCGCCTGCGTGGTATTGGGGGGCGGGGCATCCTGAAAAGCTGGGGAACCCAGAGAGCGCCAAGGAGAATGCGCCTGCGTGCTGCGGGAGAGGCGGGGCATCCTGGATGGAGACGAAGGCGGGAGAGGAGGACGCGCCTGCGTGCTACGGGTAGGGGAAGGGTCAGGTCTTCTACCTTCTAGGTAAGACTGGCTGACTGAGAAATTGTGGGAATCTCGCGCACTCAGTCTTTTCCCGTTTCCCCTCTGCGCTCTCGGGTGATCTCGGAGCTCGGGTCGGGAGCGCCCAATCTTACTATCCCTCACCAGAACAACCTCGCACTCATTCCTTCTGTCCTTCTATGGATGAGGGTAGACTGAGTTTGTCCAAACAGACACTCCAGACGAACATTTCCGAAAAAGGAAACTAGTTTTGGAGCTTGCCAAACTGGCGAAAACCAATTAGGTCAATAAAAATTAAATGATCAAAACTAAAAAATGAAAGAAAGCTAAAAAGGCCGGGCGGTGGTGGCGCACGTCTTTAATCCCAGCACTTGGGAGGTAGAGGCAGGCGGATTTCTGAGTTCGAGACCAGCCTGGTCTACAGAGTGAGTTCCAGGACAGCCAGGGCTACACAGAGAAACTCTGTCTCGAAAAAACCAAAAAGAAAAAAAGAAAAGAAAAGAAAGAAAACAGGTTTGAAAACAAATCTTCAACCTCTTCAACACTATTTGGCCAGACCTTAAACCCACATGATTCCTTAGCACCAACGGGAAAGAGAAAATACCAGAGTAGATAGACTGAACTTCATCATCAACATAAACTTCATCGCAAGAAACTATGCAAAACGAAAAACATCTTTTAAAAAAAAATGGTGAACGTAGTTTTTACATAGTCACCTGTGTTATCCAGAAGATTATGTGCCTTCACATGATCAATCACGATTTTCATACAGATGTACACTTTGCTTTTTTCCTTTGCCATTCTAAACATTTCTCATGCTTTTACACTTTTTTTGTTTACCTTTTTGACATTTTTAACACATGTACATGAATGAAAATAAGGACATGATCGCTTCTATGTATGGTTGGGGAAAGCGACTTTACTGTCAATATGAGGGAGAGCACAGCCAGAGGCATCTGGAAGGTTCCAGACTGAACGGAGCCACTAGAAACAGGTTGGTGGAGAGAGAGGGAGGGAGGGGGAGAGGAGAGAGACCTAGAGGGAAGAGAGAGAGAGAGAGAGAGAGAGAGAGAGAGCGCCCAGAGAGCATGTGGCCAAATAACTGAGTTATATATAGGAATCAGAAGCTGGGGGAAGATAAGCCCAGCCCCTGGGCTGGAGAGGTTTAGGTCAGGGTGGGGTGGGATGAGAAGTCCTGGAAGGAGCTACAGGTACTGAGTAAGGCTTGTCTTGGGTTTTTTTGGGGGAGACCTGACAATATATAGTGGGGGGGGTATGGGGATGTGGAGGGGGGGGTGTCTCTCAGTCTTGAACTCACTCTGTAGACCAGGCTGGCCTCAAACTCACAGATTCTGCCTCTCTGCCTCTTTGCCTCTTAAGTGCTGGTATTAAAGTCATGAGCCACCATCACTCGGCCTCTATAAAATTCTTTTTGTTGTTGTTGTTAACTTTATTTTAGATTTATTTTATTCATATGAGTGCTTTGCCTGCATGTATGACTATGCACCACATGCATGCTTGGTGCCTGAGGTAGTAGTGAGCCTCCATGCGAGTGTTGGGACTCGAACCCCAGTCCTTCAAAAGAACAAGTGCTCTTAACCACTGAGCAAACTCTCTAGCCCCTCCATAGGATTCTTGAGAGATAGGTAGACTCTTAGTTTTAAGGCCAACTGTGGTTTCTGAACCTTCACTTTATGTCTATACTTTTTCCTAAAACCTGTGTGCTAATGGACTTACGACATCTTGCCAGTTCATTCCCCAACTCTTTCAATCGCTTCATCTTTCCCAGTTCATAAAAAAGTCAGACATACCCTTTTACTCATAAGAATCATAAAAGGTTATATTACTCTGGAAGGCAAGAACCTCAAGAAACTTTGACAATTCATTATCAATTGAAAGTATTGAGCCGAATTGAGAAAGTATCTATTAGCTGGGTAACAAATTGTCTTGTTAAATGACACCCAAATAGTTGCTTTCAACAAGATATGTTATAAATGGCAGGAAATGGGTATTCATACTACTTCGGAGAGTGTTAGGTCAGTGTGCCACACCACAAGGAGATGTTACCTAATCCTTACTGGCACAGTATATGCAAAATGGTGCAACAAAGTTTCTCAAATTTACCTGGCCATCCTTTTGATTTTTTTTTTTTTTGTCTATGTGATCTATAATTGGTAGTATTATTTTACATTGTTCTGAGAATTTTCAATTTTTTTGGATCTCCAACAGCTTTTGTTTGAACCACAGCCTTAATGAAGCAACCTGCACAGTATCAGTAAACTTTGTTAATGAGAGTAAACTTTGTTAATAATTTGAGGAAAGGACAGAATGAATCAAAAATATCTCTAGTTCTTTTTTTGTTTTTTTTCCGAGACAGGGTTTCTCTGTGCAGTCATGGCTGCCCCGGAACTCACTCTGTAGACCAGGCCGGCCTCGAACTCAGAAATCTGCCTGCCTCTGCCTCCCAAGTGCTGGGTTTAAAGGTGTGCGCCACGACCGCCCGGCAAATATCTCTAGTTCTTACTAACTAACTGGGCAACAGGCCAATTTAGAAAAGCATAAAAGGGGCCTACTTTCCTGATTTCAAAAAATTGCTTGTTGGAAGGCTGAGGATGAGTTTAGAGCTAGAACTGTTAGCATTTTGTCTAGGCTCCACCCCACTGTTACCTGGCAACAGCCAGGTGTGCCTGACTCACTATAGAAAGGAGCTGCTTGGCCCCTCCTCTCTCTCTTGCCTTCTTGCTCTAGCTCTGTCCTCTGCTGCTCTCCTTCTTTCCCCATTCCCCTCCCCCTCCCTCTCCAGGTACTCATGGCAAGCCTCCACTCCTCTTCCCTTCTCCTCTCCTCCCTCCTCCTCCTTCTTCTCCTCCTCTTCCTCTTCCTCCTCCTCCTCCTTCTTCCTCCTTCTTCTTCCTCCTCTTCCTCTCTCTCTCTCTCTCTCTCTCTGCCCTTCTCTGCTTTCTCTGCTCAACTCCCCTCCCATGCCTCCTTATGCCTCCTCTTGCCCTGAATAGTATTCTATACTAAACCAATGTGTGGCTATCCCTCAGGGGGAAGGGATGACTCAGCATGGGCCCTGCTGAGGCACCTCCTTCCCCCAAACCTGACTGCACATCCACCAAACCTATTCTCTCTCTCCCTATCTTCTTATAAAACACAACAAGAACAGTTATCTAGCATACATGAAGCCCTGACTTTGATCCACAGTTTTGGGGAGAGGAGAAGAAATATGTGTGTGTGTGTGTGTGTGTGTGTGTGTGTGTGTGTGTGTAAACTGACTGGGGGCTTTTTCTAGCTGTAAACAAATGGATGCAAGCCAAGCAGTGGCTCACTCCTTTAATCTCAGGACTGGGAGGCAGAAGCAATAGAATCTCTGTGGGTTCAAGGTCAACCTGGTCTACATAGTAAGTTCAGGACATCCAGAGCTACTCTCTGAGACACTGTCAGTAGTAGTAGCAGTAGTAGCAGCAGCAGTAGTAAATATGTACAGAAATAGCAGTGAGAGCCCAAAGGAGAAAACTTCTAACCACACTGAGGCAAGTCTGGGAAGAGCTGAGGGTTAAGCTGAACCTTAACCAGCAGGAACAGGCCCAGCTGAAAGGCAGGAGGAGAGGTAAAGAAATACAGTTTGAAAGCAGAGTGCATGGGAGTCCATGGGACAGCTCTGTCTCCGTTTCTTCTTCCTCTCCATGCAGTGGCATTTCTGAATGCACCAATGTCCTGGCTCCCCTCCCTCAAGCAGATCCTAATGACCTATTTCTTCTCCCTTCAGCCTAACTGGAATTCCGGGATTCAGGTTCTCTCTATGCCGCTGCTTCCTTGTAGTTTTTAGGAGTGCAGTCTGGTTAAATAACTCATAAACCCCAAATTACCTTAAAAAATTATAGAAATATTCAGGGCAGAATTCTTTTGAAAGTGAGAATTCTGGGTTCTCCTTTTATATTTTGGGTTTTGTTTCTCATTCCCTAGATGACATAAGATAAGCAGGTAACAGGTTGCTCACCAAATTCTGACAATTTCTCTTGGCTCTGACTGTCTTTGGTATGGTGCTATCATTTTCTCATTATCATGGGGTAGATCTTGTATCTGTATGAACATACGTTTCTTCCCTTTGGTGTCTTATTTACAGAGGGCCTCAGAGCCCCGACTCTAGCCCCCTAGATGGTAGCACTGAGAAAGAATCTAAAATATCTTCAGAATCACCTTCATCTTCAGCCTAGCCCGTCCCAACTTGACCAGCCTCTCTGCTGTAGGATCTCAAGTTTCTTCAGAAGGCTGACGACACACTTGAGGACTGGGGATCTGATTTTGTGACTCTTTATAGCTTAAAGGAGTTGCCCAGTGAAGCAGGGAGGAGCAGAAGTCTATGGAGAGAGTCAGCCAGAGCCACGCCCAGATAAAAGGCTACTTGCTATCAGTCTCTGACTCCTGCCAGTACACCGAGAACTGCTGGGAAAGATTTCTGGGTGTTGATGACCTTGGCTGCTATCCCCAACCTTACCAGTAATTCCATAGCCTCAGCTCCATTCTAGACAAGACAAGAGAGAACCCGGAATTGTCCTGAGTAGCTATTACTCATATCTCATTTGCTATGCTATGCAGTCTGACTGACCACGCCTCTTGCAAACTCCTCATAAACATATTTCCGTTGTTTGACCAAGTCCTAATAAACTGAAAATGCCACTTCTGTCGGAGACTTGGCCTTTCTCTCTCTGCGTGCGTTGCTGCTTCCTGGAAATTCAGACTCACTAGTTCTGAATATGTGCTTTTAGTAGTTTTATTATTTTAATAAAATAAAACTAGTTAAAGTATGCATTTTCAATAAATTCTAGAAATGACTCTAAGTTTGAGGCTGTGGCCCATATAAGATCACTATCTCTGCTTTTCCAAGCAAGAGACTTCACTTATGTTAGTCCTGGTCCTCTGGCCAGTTACTGTGGGTGTCAGTCATGATTCTTTCTTATTAAGTTAGTATCAGAAGAGAAGGAAATCTAGGCCTGCTATAGAGTTCTTTATTCAGT